TTTTGTAGAGGTCTTTCAACATTGATGATACCAAAAGAGATTATTGTCTTTAATTGGCCGGAAAAAGACATAGAGGGTTTAGATCTTATTTATCAAACAAGTATCTAAGAGATGCTGGAAAAAAATTTATTGATGTCGAGCATCCAAGTAAATGTGCTGACTTGATTTCACCGGAAGAATGGGACACTTTTAAAGACAAACGAAGAACCGTAAATTTTCAGAATACGAGTGTCGTGAATCGCCAACAAGCATCGGGTCCCGCGTATCCATAAAGAAAAGGGCGTACGGGATATGCACGCTTACAATAAAAAATATAAGTATCGATAAATTGAAATGATATACTTGTTCATCATAAGTTATAATTGATCTTATTTTTTGTCTTAATTTGTAGTTAAAAAAGGAGAATAGTTCTGAAACATTTGTTCTGGAACATGTTTTGTGGAAGGCTGCCCGTGTGGATAAGGATGGAGTTGTTAAAGAAGAGGTTCAACAAATTTTTGAGAAATGTGTAAGTATACCATTAATTGTTTAATTAAATCAAAAGTTTATTAACATATAATATTCATGCTTTTCGATATTCATATGAATTTCAAGAGAATCTGTCTCGGTCTATATCTCCAGATGACTATAATGATTGCATGAGCATACTTAGTCGAGCATTAGATGTTCGTGAGTATTACGGTCGGGTGAGGGGTTTGGGACATGGGGTCACTCCAACATCCTTGAAAAAGAAAAATCCAAAGACAAAATCTCCTAGCAATAAAGAACTGCGGGAAAAGTTGCAAGCATTAGAAGTTGAAGTTCGTGAATTGAGAAAGGAAAAAGAAAGAGATCAATCAGAAAAGGAAGCTTCAGGTTTTAAAGATACTAATGACAAAGCTAGTGTTAATTGTAATGTTCAACCAAATATTCCCGAGGTACTTATATATATCATTATGAAATTAAATTAGTGTTATTTATTTAATTGACATGTATATATATATATATATATATATATATATATATATATATATATATATATATATATATATATATATATACACACACACACACACACAATAACAATGTCATATTTATTATTGATTTTAGGGCATTTCACCCTGTCAACTCTATTTATCGTCACCGACTTATCGGATGGTTGGCAAGGAGAAAGTGCATAATACTTTAGGAGAAGTACTTTACCATAAACTGCTCCCTGCTTGATATTTGAAGGTATCAATTGATATTGCTTTAGAGGGGGTGCGTTATTACCAATACCAGACGATGTTTCAGATGCAACATTGGTGGGAGAGGCAGTAGGTGCGTATGTTGCATGGTCTTCGAGCCTCATTCGCGTAGATGGTGAGGTATGCTTAAAACCATTATGAACCTTTGAGTATTCAAAGTTTTTATGAGCATTTTACATACATTTTTTTACATGGTAATGTTAGACTCCTACAAAACCCAAATCAAAAGATAAGGGGATTATGCGGCAAACTGAGTCAGTTGCATCAAAAAAAGAGGTATAACACAATTATATGATATTTATGCATTGGATGATGTTATACTTCACCTAACTAATTATATGATATTTAGATGCATGCTAAAGAGATTGAACAAGTCAGTAGGGGTAAGAAGACCACGACTAGCAAAAAACCTACTTCTCAGCATAGGTCGTGCCTTCGGACATATATAGGAATAACAGATATTCCAATTGGTGGTACTCGTCTTATACCTATGAAGGCATACATTTTTGGTTATGAATACATGGAAGCAATTGGTAGAGAAAATATGGATCAAGTTTTTCAACATTTGACTTTAGGCCTCGGTGTTATCGATACATACAGCAGGTATACTCTGATCAAATTTGTTTAATTAAATGAACAATTTATTTAATCATTTCAATGAATATAGTCTAATTTTAATGATGTTTTTATTTAAGGTTTTTGTATGATAAAGTGATGCGCCCGCGTGGATTGGAAGAAAGACTCACTTTCTTAGCTCCCAAAATCATCGACTTATGGTTAATCGTAACAAAACCAGATGACGTCATATCGTATGTACTCGGTTTATTTGTGTCCAACAAAAGATACAGAAAAGTTGTTCTTTTTACCATATAATACTGGAAACGGGTTAGATTTTCATCCTAACTTCATATATTATAATTTTTGGTTTTTTGACGTTGTGTAGAAACTTTCCATCTAACATTTGTTTAATTTTATAGTGGACATTGGTTGTTGCTTGAGATTAATCCTGTAATTGAAATTTTATACTATCTGGATTTTTTATACAATGATTGGACAACATACCTAGATTTGAAGAATATGATTGATACGTAAGTGAGCTTGTTCTAAATATTCGTGTGTATATTTATTTATCTATTTCTAAATAGTCATTTATATTTTATTATAGAGTTCTACAAGTTTTTCGATCATAGAGAGGTATTCAAGTACCAAAGAGTAAAGCCAACAACATTACGTGGATCAGAGTGCATGTATATTTTCACAATTTTGATTATATAAGTGATGATACTTGATTATCTGTGTGTGTGTGTGTGTGTGTGTGTATGTGTGTGTGTGTATTTTCTTTCCATGTGTAGTGTCCTCGTCAATGTAATGGTATAGATTGCAGTTATTTCATCTTGAGGTTTATGAAATAAACGCTTTTTTTTTACCGAATAGAGATTCCATCCATGCTATGAATTTCTAACTTAGGAATTATTTTAATATTTCTCATAAAATGGCATAGTGTTTTAACTAAATCACATACTATGTTATATTACTATGTAGTACTTTGACGAATTCAATTATGCTCATTACTCAAAAGATCAATTGGATGAACTTATGGAGGAATGGTATCAATTCATTATGGAGTTGAGAATTTTATAAGGTATATTGTCTTTCTTTCATTGATGAGAATTTTGAGTATAACTTTCGAGTTTTGAGTATAAATTCGAATAAAGTTTTGTTTTATTATGGTATAAATTTCAATCTTTTGATTTTGTTTCAGGTTATAGGTGCAGATGTAGAAGATAGAGTTAACAAGTTCATTGTTGTTGTTTTTTTAGAAATTCTCGAAGATAGTAATATGTAGATTAAACATCAATTTATAATTTTAGAATTTTAAAGTTGTATCATCAATTTTCAAGTTGTTGTTGTATATATCATCAATTATATATATGTAGTTTTTTTGTATATGCAAATTTGGTGCATATTTATTGGATTGAAGCTACCAAATCAGGTGCAAAATATGGTGCAAACCTGGTGCAAAATATGGTGAAAATCTGGTGAGTATTTATTGTAGATATTGGACACCGCTTTCTGTAATTGAAAATAAGTCTAATATTTAAAAAATTTGTGAAGATTAGACAACGATTAATGAGAAAAGCCATGTCTAAAATGGGGAAAAGGCATTGCCTAAAGTGGAGAAAAATGCTACCTAAAATGGGAAAGCGCTTCCTAAAGTGGGGAACAGACAGTGCTTTTAAAGAAAAGCGTTGTCTAAAGCGATGCCTAAAAGATAATCAAAAGCGTTGTGTGATACGGTGGTAGAACTGACTTGAGGAGTTTGCGTTTTGATCGCATTTGTGCGGATAGCAAGAGTCGCCACCGACTTTTCTTTTATCCAAAAGGAAAGGTAAAAAAGCACAGGAAAGACCTTTCGAGATTATTTCTCGGGTTCGGGGGGTAGATTATGAAGAGGGAAGGTATTAGCACCCTTTTCATCTGTAGTTATCTATGGGCTCTTAGTTACTTGCTAGATCACTTGCTTTTGTTTGACAATATGCTTGTGGTGTGTTTTTTGAAAGTATTTTGAAAATGTCTTTGTAATGGTTCTCATTTCTATAAGAACGCGTACAAAGTTTTGTTTTTAAAGATAGTTCAAAGATGTGTTTGTGGAATGTGTTTTTGAAAGTGGTTTTTGGAAAGATGTTTTGCAATGGTTCTTGTCTCTATAAGAACGTATACAAAATGTTTTTTATTTTTGAAAATGTTTTTGAAATGAGAGTGTCGGTGTAAAAAGTACTCAAAAGGACTCAAATGTTCTTTTCTTCCTCCTTTAGATGTTGCTATCTTACCATTGATTTGGTAAGAAGCCCCATCGTCGGATATGAAGGGACAGACGCGGGTCAATTTTACAGTCATCGAAAGTAACTTATGAAACGCTTTAGCAATTTTCGTAAGGGACTAGATCATTTTATTGAAGGCAACGTCGAGGGTCATCGAGGAACTACAATCTTTTTTATCGAAGGGTCATTGCTAAAGCGCTCCATATTCGAGGGACATGATTGTGTTTCTGAGGCAACGAGCGAGGCTACCCTAGAGGTGCGCGTGTGAAAAAGTGTTTTTGATTCAAGTTAATTTTGTCTTTGAAATTAGATTATCTAGCGCTTGATTTTAAATCTTGCCATACACGCCTAATTATTACACAGTATAAAGAAAACAGTAAATTGCGGAAATGGAAATTCTACACTATTACAAAGCTTTCGGGAATGGGGGTATAATTTTTTTTACAAATGGGGATGGAATAATGCGATTAAAAGTCCAAATAAGCAAACAATACAACTAAATCGAATCGAGAAATTAATCGAAATCACAACCAATCTATAAAGTAAAAATTGATTAAAACATGGAAATAAAATTCTAGGTATTTGCTTGCAGAGTTTTGGAAATAAAAATTATGTTCTGTTAAAGAAAATATTTAACTAAAGAAATTAAATCGAATGCGTATCTTCTTGAGTTTTTAGTGTATTTTTTATTTATGTAGAAACTAAAAAATGTTAACTAAATGATAAAATATTAATTAATAAAACTATTTACAAAAATCCCTAACTAAAATAAAATTACTAATTTAAAAATATATTTAATTTACTTGAATTTTGAAATTTAAACAAAATTGATATTTTAAAATCTAATAACATGTTTTCTTTTTATTTAATTAAAAATTAAACTAGGCTAAAAACTTAATCAAAGGCATCTATATTAATCAAAATAAACAAAATAAAAGGTTAACACCAAAAGATGGGGGTGTGAGATAGAAATTCGGATGGGCTAAAAACTGGCCCAAGATAGTTTTTTTTTTTTGGTATCTTTTGTTCAATAATAATAAAAACAGAGAGAAAAAAAAAACAAAGAAAGGAAAAAAAGTCCCTGGGGGGTCTCGAACCTGGGACTTTTCAATCACATGACCATATCCTAACCGCTACATCACTCAATACTTCATGCATTATCCCAACCTTATTGAAACAAAAGGCTAAAATTATGAAGTGGGTTGGGCCAAACCTAATAGGCCCAAACCCGGTTTTATGACAAAGGAATGGAAAAGCAATTGAAAAAAAACCTAATAGAAGTAGTCGCGGCTGACTTACCTTTGGGAAGAGGAAAAAGATTATTCTTAATTATTATTACTTTGATATTTCTAATTAATGGATTTTATCTCTTCTTAAACAACAAGAAAAATAATCAATCTCTCTCTTCTCTTTCATATTCTTTCTCTAATTTCAAAGCCAAACATTGAAGGATGCCAAAAACGACGCAGTGGTGTTTCGGAACCTGACAGCGGCGCTTCAGAACCTGACGGTGGCACCGCCGCGAAAAGGTCAGATAGTTTGTTTTTTTTCTTTTTTCGGGATCTTTTCTTTCTCCTTTCTCTCTTTGATTCTCTTTTTCCTTTGATTAATCCTAGTTTCTACAGATCTGAAGTTATGTTGTTGTGTTTCTTTCTTAATTCACAGTGTTGTGAATGTGTGAATATGGATTATGCAGATTTCATATTGTTTTGAAAAAAGTTTGGTTCCATTTTTGGTTTATATGTGAAAGATTTATGTTATGGAAGATAAGTGATGAAAGGATATAGTTACTATAACATGTGAGAAAGAGATGGGGTGTAGACTCAATGGCCAAAAGATTTTTTTTTATAGGGAATGTGTTATCGTGTATTTCCTTTTTTTTAACAGAATTTTGGTATATTTTAACAGTTACAAAAATACTAGTAGAACAGAAGCAAAGCAACCGTATAGACAGTAAAGATACAACAACAAAAATTCGAGCAACACTAAGCAGCAGTATGTTTATGAGATAACAAGAGGGAGACTTACAGGATTGGTTATGAACAAGTCTTTTGAGAGGTTTGAGATTGACTGAGGTATTAGATTGTTTTCTTGATTCTTTTGCGATTTTGGTGTACTGCTGTCTCTTCTTTTCTTTGTATATTTTCTCTGCAGTTGGTTTTGTAACAATTGATCTTGTCTATTGTTCACCCCCCCTTTTTCTGGTTAAGATGGATCTGTTATATAGGTGGGATACTGTGAAAATGGGGGGGGAAACTTGATAATTTTTGATCAATTTTGGCTACTGTTTTATTGCTTTCTGGGGCAGATTTTGTGTTGCTGATTTTTGTGTAATACTTGGTTGTTTATGCAGGTTTTGGGCAGCATAGGACAACATGGTTTTGGACTGATTTTGGGCAGATTTGCAGTAAGAAAGTAGCAGAATTTTGGCAGCATTTGGGACTGTCATAGACTGCTTTTTTTTGGACTGTTTTATGGTATTTCTACAACACTTTTTTTGGGGATTGATTTGCAATATCTTGGACAGCAAAATACTACAAAATTGGGCTTGTTGTATTGCAACATGGCTGGAAATAGGTTGTATGTTTGAAGCATGAAGCTTTAGGACATTTAGAATTAATAGTTTGATTTTTTATGTACAAACTAGTAATTCTTCTTGTAATAATAATTCCAGATAAAAATTTGTAACATGAATGGGAATTTGGAACTTTGAAATTATTATTTTTTTGTGGAATTTGAACTTGAATGAGGAATGACATTGTAATGTTGAATTCTCTTGAATGAATTTTAATAAAATGATTCATTCCTTGTACACTTGAATTGATGCGAAATCAAAGACATCATTTGAATGAATATTGGGAACGAATTTGTACCAAAATTCATGAGTGCCTTTTGCTTGAAAAAATTGTACTTACATGATGAGTACTTAACATTAACCATTAATCTCAAATGATAAGAGCTCAAAATATACTTCTTCTTCCAAAATAAACTTGAGTTTAAACATTCCATCCAAACAAGACTTAATCTTTCTTTCAAACTTGATGGAACTTCAATTAGGAGTTTCCCCTTCTTTTTTTTTAATCTGCTTTGGATATCCAAAAAGGAATGCCTTATGCCAATGGTTCACAAACTTTAAACCAACCATGTTAGAACATAGTTTGATTCTACAACCCTTGAGTAAAGTTTTGATGATAACAAAATACAAAGAATAAAATTATTTCTAAGGTATATACAAAGAACAATTATGCTCCTGAAAACTATGATATGTATATGCAGAAGCTCTGATGGAATCAACATCAGAATAGAAGCAGCATCAGAAGATAAGCAACCTTTGTTACACGCTGAAACATGAAGTTTAGTGACCAGAATTTGCGCCTAATCAAATACACTCTGACTCTGATCAAAGACATCTTTTCCAAGTCATCTACACTCTGAAGCATTATCAGCAGATACAACAAAGAAGATTCTGAAGCGTTACTAAGCATTCAAGACTGAATTAAATGCTAACGGCTTTCTCCAGACAAAAATCTTCTACAAAAGGAAAGTGCATTATTATCATTAAACCTGCTTTATGGACAACGTATCCTTGCTTGCCTATATAAACAGGATTGCTTGTGAAAAGAAGCACGTACGTACGCACTCAATTTGCTAAGCTATTAAAACCACGCTCATTCAAAGCTTTAGCAAAGTCATTCTATTCCAATCTTAGTTTGTGTAATTATCACAGTTGTGATATACAGTTTTGTAAGAAAACAACATACACACTAGTTCAATTCATTTGTAAAAGATTTCCTTGAGATAAACCGGTTTGTGGTTGTACTCAAGAAGACTTTAACAGTTGTTAAAGTAGCTATTGTAATCCTTTTAAAATAGTGGATTAAGACCTTGTTGGAGAGAGGAGAAATCACCTTGACGGGTGGACTGGAGTAGTTTGAGATCAAACGAACCAGGATAAAATATTGTGTTGTCAAGCCATTTGTTTTAAGTTTTACAATTTAACCCCCCCCCCCCCCCCCCCCCCCCCCCCTTCTTGTGTTTTTCACATCTTCAAACCCAACTCACATCATGCATAAGAATTCAAAACTCAACTTAAAAGACCTTGAACAATCACTAGAAGAGGTTTCGAAGCAAAAGTTATCACATTGAAGAATTGACATCGTGAAGTTATTAGGACTCAAGAAATATTTAAGTCAAGAAGATGACTTATAACGTTTCAATAAATCCCAAAGCTTTATAAACACCGTTTGACTTTCATTCTTGTAGGAAAACTTGTTGATGATCTTATTTGTGACAATGTGCTAAGATATTCATCTCAAGATGTTGAAAATTAAGGGAATTACGACTCTTGGAAGTCAGGCAACAATTATTTGAGATTAAGTTAAAAATCCAGAAAGTGACCTCTAAAGTATTCGAAACTTTGATAATCTTCCGCGCATAATAGGCTCTTGACTTATTAAAGAGGAATTGGAGACTGTGATTGGTGGGAATGAGAACTGATTGTTTTTGGAATGCTGGTTCGCGTTTGCGTTCTTTTTCGCAAAATGTCGCGGTAAGCAAGAGTCGCCACCGTCTTTTATTTTATCCAACAAGGAAAGGACAAAAGCACAGAAAAATTCCTTTTCGAGATGTTTCTCGGGTTCGGGAGGTAGATTATAGAAAGGGAAGGTGTTAGCACCCTTTCTATCCGTGGTTATCCACGGGCTCTTAGGTACTTGCTCACTATGTTTTCAAAAGTTTGCTTTTCTTTGTGTTTGTGGGTTTTGAAAAGAATTTTGTTTTTGAAGAAAGTGTAAGTGCGAAAAGTTTTGTTTTGTTTTTAAAAGGAGCAAGTACTTAAGAACCTCTACCTACTCAAAAAGGAATTAAACTGTGCAAATTTCCTTTAGACAGTGTTATCCCACTATTGAGGAGTAGGTAGCACCGTCGTTGGAGTTTTCGGGTCAATTATTTAAGGGACGTGTGGTCACTAAAGCAATGTTAGGACGCCTTAGTGGTAATCCTAATGTCTTAGATCATTTTTATCGAGGCAACCATTTCGAGGCAACTTGTGATCTTGGGACAAAAGGATGACCTCTAAAACATCCTATACTTAATGACCACATTTGAGGCAACCAAGTGAGGTGTACCCTAGGAGTGGCATGTGCAAGTGTGTCAATTTTCAGTTTATATCATCTTTGTATTTTTAGGTGTTCTACCATTTGTTTTTTAGATCTTGTCATACAATCCTAGTTAGCATACATCTAAGCAGTTAATATATATACAGGAATTTAAAGTGCGGAAATTGTAAATCCTACGCTATTACAAGGCTTCGGGGAGGGGGATTATTTACATGTCCAAAATTGGGGGAATAATAAGCAGTTACAATAAAATAAACGCGCGTGAATCTTAAAAATCCTAAGAATATAATCTTTTTGTTGTTTTATTTTATTTTTTGGGAAAATGCTAAATGTTCAATTAAGTCAAATTTAATTAATTAAAAAAATGATTAAAATTAACTCTAAAACATACCTAATATTTTTTTCATTTTTGTGTTTATGAAAAGGATTGAATTCAAATAAATCCTAAGTCTACTGATTTTAAAATTGAAGAAAATAAGTTAAAATGATTAACTAAATTAAATCCTAATTCTAAGTTATTTATTTTTATGATTTTTATGTTGATTAAAAAAAACAAACTAAAAGGAAATAAACAAAAACAAAGTAAACAAAGTACAAATGGGCCAGGCAGCAAAACAAGAAAAAAAATATAGTTCTGGAGGCCTGGGTCGAAAGAGGTGCAGGCTGTCTTTCGATCCAGTGAAGAGTCTTGATCGAAGGTGCATGAGGGGCTGCACTCTGAGGGTGTTCGATCTGGACATGTCATCTTTCGATCTGGAAATCCTGGGTCCAGTTCGAAGCTAAACTGCTGAGCTTCGAAACTCTGAATAGGAATCTGAGAATGTAGTTCTTGCAAAACGAAACAGATGTAAAAGGTCCAGGGGGGATTTTACCCCCCTGGTTCGAATCTCCCCCTTATTCACACCTGCTGAATCTGGGTCTGGGTTTGTTTTATCCTAGGATTCGAAGGAGAAACTCAGATTGTGCCCAAGCAATGGCACAATCTCATCTTTGCGTTGTAGCTTATATGTAGCACATTAAATCATTCACAAACAGCAGTAATAATATGAATATGCAATCAAAATGAATTTAAAAAAGAGTTTGAGATTAGATTTTTTTTACCAAACAGAGGTGTTTCGATCTGTAGTTCTGAGGGTGGAGGTGTTTGCTGGGTGGCAGCTTTGGCTTGTGCAAGGATTGGGTATGGCTTCCTGGAAGTGCTGATGACTTTTGGCAGCGTATCTCCAAGCTCTCCTTGCTTCTTTTCTCTATTTTTTCTGTATATTTCCGTGTGTCCTTTTGCAACATTTGTGATTTCTTTATATAGAGGGGTGGAGGGGACAGGAAGACAAAGGTTTAAATGACTTTGATTATGTGTTTGACAGCCATGAATGAGAATTTGTAACGTGGATTATGTGTTTGAAAGCCATGAATGAGAATTCGTAACGTTGGCTAAACACATGGGATCTTGTCCCTTTTTGAATTTTGAATGACAAATAACTGGCCTTCGAATGCTCCCTTTCGAATAGGCTGATGACCTCCTTCTAATGCTCCCTTTAGAATGGGTTGATGGCCTCCTTCGAATGCTTTCCAAAGCTTCTTCGAATGGACCCTTTGAATGCTTCTTCGAATGGACCTTTTTGGAATTCCAATCGAAGGAAACTGTTATAATGCCAATCGAAGTACTTGTCCATAATGCCAATCGAAAGGCTTGTCCAGAATGCCAATCGAAAGGCTCCTTCAGAACACCAATCGAAGGATCTTTCAGAATGCAAATCGAAGCGCTTATACAGAATTCCAATCGAAAGAGATTGACAGAATACCAATCGAAAGGCTCCTTCAGAACACCAATCGAAGGGTCTTTCAGAATGCAAATCGAAATGTCCTTAAAGCACCACTCAAAAATTTTCCTTTTCCTTAGGCAAGAGTTTGTGATCAACCATGCAGGGGGAAGACTTTGGAAAACATGAGAGGGCAAATTTTGGGGTACAACAGTTGCCCCTGTTCAATCTTCTTAAACCTGAGGATGTAGATTGGCTTGCATGCCTTTCGTGATCCGAAGGTGGAAGATGATTGAACACTAGAGTGCCCAGAAATTTGCACTCGCATGGTGTAGTATCAGCATTGTGATGTCAGGAATGGGCTTACAGATGCCATTTGGAGATTGTTGGTAGGAGGATGGGCTTATAGATGCCATCTGCAGGAGTGTCGATCGCATAAGAGATTCCTTAGCGAGAACTTGCATACCTGTTGTTGTAGAAGATTCCACTGGGGAAGTCTAACTTTGTTGAGATTTAGGAACCTGCCTGTACTTCAATTGAGAGAATGCTTCAGCTGAGTTTTAAGAACCTGTTC